TCTGGTCTCCAACAGCACATTCTTGGCCTCCCCGGATCTTCATCCTGCGCCTCCCGGAGGAGGGGCTGCTCTCAGTACAGTCCTTCCAGTTTCTGGGCCCTTGAGGGACTCTGGCAGGGGAAAGGGGCTATTCTCCTCTTCATTCGGGCCCGTTTGGGGTGGAGATCAGAGTTCAACCTCATGCCACAAGGGGCCAGGCTGAGAAGGCTTCCAAGAAGGATGCCGGGTCAGAGGTGCCCTGGGACGAGTAAGTGGGGAGCTAGAGAGAGCAGAGGAGGGGGCTGCTGCGGAGTTGAGTCTGTCTCCATCCATGCAGGAAGTTGGAACCACAGCCAGCACGCAGTGAAGCAGCAGAGAAACCTCAGTTGAGCCAGGGATCAGCCAGTTTGCTGGGGAATCTGCTTCCTTTATCCATTCATTATTATTGCAAGCGTGTCCATGTGGAGGCGCACAGGACACAGGCCACGTGCGCAGGGTGTGCCGGTCAGAAGACCGCTCTGTGGAGCGAGCTCTCTCCTTTCGCCTTTACGTGGGTTCCGACGACTGAAATGTATCTGTCCACCAGGTTTGTGTGGCAAGGCCCTTACCCACAGAGGCACCTCCTCAGACCTTACTTGAGAATTCTAACTGCAGCCTTATTGGCCTGCAGACTCTTTCACGTGCTGGAGTGGACATTCCGGGGGATGGGATTTGGAGACTGAAGTATAAGCTGGCTGGGACTCCTGAAGTCCTTGATTTCGCTAGGAATCTGTATAGGGTCAGCTTCCTCCCAGCCTCTTAAGAGGCCCAGTCTCTCAAGTCTAAGTCTAAGTCTAAGTCAAGGCAAAGGAATAAACTCTAGTAAAGGTACAAGTTCCCAAGCAGTGACAGGAAAGAGTCAGTCCAGCCGCTCTATCCCTCCAAAGCCTCTTTCTGCCACCACCTAGAGATGGCACCTAGAGGCTGGACACCCTGCTCTGACCAACTCTGTTCAGAGAACATACTGCCACCTAGCCCCGCACCTTGAGCTTTGCTTAGAGGCCAAGAGTGAGGTTTCTGGGCCAGCTTGAGCCCCTGCCTCCCCTACAGTTTGTCCTTCAGTTCCTGGTTAATGACTCTCAGCTGTGCAAGTCCTGAGTCTGTTGAGATATTTGGGAAGAAAAGGCCTTGAAAATACGAGCCTTTTACTAGGCAGATATGGACACCTTGGGAGCAGAGCAAATACTGCTGGTCCCTGCTGTGAGCTATAGCATCACTGAGGAATGGGGAAATACCTTGGGTTGCTTGTGGGGAAACAGGAAAGTTACTGCCCTCTTGACCTCCCAGGTCTCCTGCCCAGACGTCAGGCATGAAATCTGCCCCCCAATTCATGGTTGGGTCTTTAGATGAGGTCTTAGTGTAAGGAGCCTAGGACGTAGCCTGACGACCCACTAATACCTGACACTTAACTCTTCTGGGATTAAAAAAACAAAACAATTTTTTTTTTGCAACAACAAAACCCCAGGGAGAGGGTTGACATTAAGCTGAGAATACCTTATTGTAGTAAAGGTGTGTGGGGCCTTCCACATGGTCTGGACAGGGGAAGATGGGGGAGATACTCATGGTGGATGACGTGTGAAGACAAACAGGCAAGCCCCAAGCTAATTGTCATGCCCCAGCTTCTGGGGCACCTCGGGCAGGGCTGTCCTCCAATCAGTAGGGGGTAGGATATACCACAATCCCTTTGGGGACACTGCAGGGGAAGGTGGGCACAGAATGAAGAAAGGGAGATGAACGCGGGCGAGTTAGCCTAGCCCCAGCTCAGGTACCTGTCCTGGCTTCCATTAGAGAAGATGCCAAGCTGACCTGGCTGCCTTCCAAACTGTTGAACCAGGCATCTAGCAGGCCCTGTGGGAACAGGCTGCGTGTCCTCTTTAGGAGTGACATGATAGTGGAGGCCCGTGATTTCATCCACTAAGACCCAGAAAGAATGGTGCAAGCATGTGATAGGACACCACACAAGTCTCTGAAAATGAGTCGCTGCTGAGGTGAATCAGCAAGTCAAGGCTCCGGCTGCCAAGCCTGATGACCTCAGTTTGATTTCCAGAACCCACATAATGGAGAGAGAAGCTCTGATCTCCAAGTGTGCACCAAGCACATGGACACCCCCCCAAATGAATAAACAAACAAATAAGTAAATAAATGTTTTTCAAAATAATTACATGGAACTGGAGAAATGGCTTACAAGCTAAGAGTGTTGACTGCTCTTGGAGGACTCTGATTTAGATCCCAGCCCCCTCACAGTAGCTCAAAATCATCCTCAACTTCAGTTCCAGGGGAACCGATGTCCTCTTTTGACCTTTGTGGACACCAGACACTCGCCCGGTACACAGATATACACGCAAGCAAAACATTCATGCACATAAAATAAAATAAATAAATCTTTAAAAAAAACATTTTCTTTTTTCAAGACAGGGTCTCTCTGTGTACTTTGGCTGTCCTGGAACTCTCGCTGTAGAACAGGTTGGCCTCGAACTCATAGAGATCTGTCTTTTAAAAACCATTTTTTAAGAAAACTATTCTATACTTCAAGAATGTAAGTATGTAGGATAATCTCATGATGTTTTAGTTGGGAAAAGGTAGTATTTGCAGCTCTGGAGTCCAGTTATCTCCTGAAATGTACACACACTCATGCTGAGAGCACCGTGCATCATTATCTCTGGATAAAACCTTGTGGGCGACATTATTGTCTCCATGGTCCTGGCTTTCTTTAACCAGCGCTGCCCGTTTCGGTCGTCGATAGCTGTTTATCCGCAGTAGCTCAGCTTTAAATGGCTGAAGCTGGCCGAGTTGAGGAGCCGCGACAGATGAGAAGGGCCTTGTGCCCCGTAAGCTGTCTCTCAGCATCCCTTGCCCCCTCTCCTTCCTGCCACTGCCTCAGTTTCACTCTGGTGTTGACTCTTTTGATGCTCCATAGGCCCTCCATTTCAATCTGGTTTTGTGTACCAGAGGGAGGCTGACCTTAGGGACCACATTTAAAGTCCTGGCTGGACCTGGCTAAAAGGAACAGGCAGCAGAGGATTCAAGAGAGGTCGGGGCATAATGGCAGAGCACTGACCACCCAGCTGTCTCACTGTGGGCCTCAGCAACATGCCTTCCTGCGATGGTTCTTCCTACAAACCTCCGTGGGTTCTTCTTCACTCCCGATACTTCTGCCTGTCTTGAAATAGGCAGTAAACTGAATGGTGAAACATCAAAGATGTCCTAATGTAGCTAGATTTTTCCTGCCTTGCCCACAGTCAGGACAAACCTCTGTCACCCGCCAGTCCCACAGCCGCTCAGACCCAACCAAATAAACACAGACACTTATATTGCTTACAAACTGCATGGCCGTGGCAGGCTTCCTGCTAACTGTCCTTATCTTGCTAACTGTGCTTTTATCTTAAATTGATCCATTTCCATACATCTATACCTTGCCATG